CCAACTGAAAAGTGCTTTAAAAAAAGGTACTTAAAATAATCCTGTTTTTCTCTTCTGGCCTTTCCCAGTTGATTATTTGGTATTCATTTGCCACTGTATGCTATGTGAGACTCCACACGCAGTGGTGTTTTCATTTCAATATACTAAGTTTGCAGGCTGAGGTCTATGGACTTTCAGATGAATCTCTGTGTAGGTGGTAACAAAATGTGATTTCAGAGCTGACTGTTTGACATTTTTAAGGTTTCACCTGCCAATGCTGTCTGAAGGTGATTAAGGGTTTTATTTTCTAAGAGGATATAAAGCTTGGTGAGTAATAAGGACTCACTACCTCCAGAAGCTGCAGTTGAACAGGCCCATCTGCCTGCGTTCACTGCAAGGCTGGCCCAGTTGCTCTCTCAGATCCTGGGCTCCATGTCAAGATAAGGCAGGAGACCTGAGAGAGTGAATGCCGTTGGGCTAGCAAAGCTAGCAAACGCTTCGTCTCAGGCTGACTTGAGTTCTAGCTTTAGTTCTCTGCAGTTCCACTGTGACAGGGTCAAGAACTTACCTTGATTTTTTCTGCTTTGAAAACAGCAGATCTCTTACTTCTCTACTACTGTAGGAAATAATTATTCAAAATTGCTTTTTCAAACATTTAGCAAATCAAAGAAGTGATATTCGTTTCCCCAATTTATTGTGGCAGTATGACTCACTCCATTTTTGGCTTTGTGGACCCTCTCCCAGTGGCTGTAATTCAAGGCCTCCATCTCTATACACATCAGGCACTTTCTTCCCTTTTGGAGATGGAATGTACCTGTTAATCCTAGAATTTCTCAAGGCAACAGAACAGGCTTCTAACACTGTGAACAGGCCCTGACTGGTATCTCACCTTGTTCCCTGACAAGCAATCTGCAGACACCTAGGCAGTGTGGTGCAGGAGGAGGACCGAGTCTCACCCGGCACCCCTGGCTTCCCCACCCAGCACCTAGGGTGGCGTCTAGGATGCAGCAGGGTGAAATTCAATAAAGGTCTGATGGAGTGCAGTCTATCCTCTCAGCTTACATTTTCTCTAGGGAAAGGTTCTTTCTTAATGGCAGGACATTAGGTATTTCCTAACCCTCACGCCCAATGGGGTAGACATGGAGCAATAAGTGTCATTGGAAATGAAGAAGCATGTTGCCAGTAGGGGAATAATAGAATTATGTGCATCATTTTGAACTTGTGTATACAACTGAAGGAGGTTAACCCTGCCTATTAGCTCCTCATCTATTCCACCTGGGCCCATGGTAAAATTACCTGACCTCCAAGTTGTTCCATTAGACTGTGCGTCTAGCCACACTCCTTTACTACCGAGCTCTATCTGTAAATATACCGAAAGTGTGTGTGGACTCTCACTCCAACTACCGTGTGAAGTAAGGCTGCTCCCTAATGCCCTTGCACTTGTTCTTTCTGTAATTCTTGCCTCTTAGTGAAATTTTTAGGTCCTTTCAAACCCCACTTCAGATACCAACTCCTCTAAGAAGGCTTTCCTGATTCCCCAAAGATGGAATTAAGCATTTCATTCTCTGTGCTAGTTCCATATTTTACAGTTTGTATATGTTAAAGCTAATACTGATAAAGTAGTTTCGATGTGTCATGGTGTTCTAAGAGCATTACATATATTGACTTATTTAATTTTCACCACAATTCTATGAGACACATACTCTTAATATTCCCATTTTGCAGATGAGGAAACTAAGGCACAGATGGTAAACAACCTGCTCTAAATCACAGGCTTTCAATTCAGGTAGATCTTAAAACATTTGGCCATCATGTATTTCTACTGCTGCACTTAACACACTATGCTGCCATTTATCTGTTTCAAAGTCCTCTTCAATACTGTGAGTTTTATTTGTTCAGCTCTATGTTCCCACACTTGGCAGTCCCAAGCTAATGGACTTCCTGTGTGCTCACTAAGCCACAGCAGATACCCTCAACTATGACCAGCCAAGTCAGTAACTTTCTCATGAGCCTGGGATTAAATATTCACTGGCTGGTCTAGGATGTAAGTAAATCAAGTACATTGGCCATCTGCAATCATTTCTGGGAAACAGCTCATCTGAAATCTAGAGCAAAAAAAAGGAACATCATTCCACAAGTAAGAAACTCCAGAACCGGAACAAGAATTAGAAACCAAATCTCTAAAGTCAAAACAACACAGGTAGAATCCAGAATCAATTCTTTTTGATTCAAGAATGGTAACTCTTGAGATTCTGCTATCCATTAGTTAGTGAGGAGAAGTCAAATGTGAGAGAGGTATGTAAATTATATCTCAATAATAATAACAACTAAAACAACAACAACAAACCCAAACATGAGAGACTCTGGGCAGGTAAATTACAGCTGTAGAAAATCAGCAGCTAGCGCCCATGACCTACAGACACATAGGTAACAAGTGCCGGCACTCCAAAGTGCTGTTCTGGGATCTGAATCTTGCTCTGACCCTGACTACTATATGACCTTGGTTTTTTAACCTCTTAGCACCTGAACCTCTATAAAACAAGGGTAAAAAGAGAACCTATGTCGTAGGGTTGCTGTGAGGATTAAATGAGTTATATGAGTCAAATCCTTAGCATAGTGCCTGGCACACAGCAAGGGTCCAATAAACACAAGCTATTATTCTTCCTGATTACTAATAAAGTAGGCAAAGAGCTGGTAGCATGTAAGGTACATTACCAGAAACACCCATAACCTTTATCCTTGCTGCCTGGCACACAGTGGACATTTCAGTGGATGAATTAATGGCCAAAGTGTTTTTGTTCAAGGGAGAAACTAGAATGGCAATCAGAAGTAAGGCTTAAATGTCACGAGGACTAGCCCAGCAAACTCAAAATTTAGCATTCTATTAATGATATCAATGTATTATAGACAGCCACTATATGTATTCATAATAGCAATTCTTAGGCATTATATAAATCCTTTTGTGTCTTATAAATTATCAATAGTCAAATTATATTCAAGGAAGTTTAAAAATTAAGTATATATTACTGCATTCAAACACTTTAAAAACTGGAAATCTATGTAGAGTCTAAATGGCAACAATGAATTAACTGGGATATTTTGACTGATTGCAACACTAAGTTCACACTTAATTACTCATATGGTATTGATACCCATCTGCCTTCTGTATTTCCCACTAGACTGTGAACGCCTCTTATGCCTCCTGCTTTAGTATGCACTGTGCCTGGAACATATTCATGGTCAATAAATACCTGCAAAATAAACAGCCATAGTGTCCCATGACCATACCACACCAAAGTTTTTAGTCCAGCAACATATTCTTTTGGTGTACTTACATTTCCACAAAATGATAAAAAATTTGTATTTTCCTAAGGCCTTATAAATACAAATTTCAACATTTAAAAATATGGTATGCTTTACATGGAACAGACTGATAAATCTCAGCTCAGCGGGAAGGCAGGATGCGGGAGTGGTTGGGGAGAGATTAATCAAAGAATTTATACGCTTATATGCATAACTCATGGACACAGTCAATACTGTGGTGAAGGCGGGGAGGGGGAGTATCAATGGGGAAAAAAAGGGAGGAAAATTGTAATACTTTCAACAATTAAGATAAATTTTAAAAAAATGGGCCCGGCTAGGTGTGGCTCAGGGGTTGAGCATCGACCTAGGATCCAGGAGATCTTGGTTTGATCCCCAGTGAGGGGCGTGCAGTAGGCAGCCAATCAATGACTCTCTCATTGTTGACGTTTCTATCTCTCTCTCTCCTCTCTCTCTCCCTTCCTCTCTCTGAAATTAATAAAGATATATTAAAAAATAAAAATTAAAATAAAAAAATTTAAAAAATGGTATGCTTTAAGAAAATCATTCTTTAAAACCCTAAAATTTAAGACTAAGTGACTTTACAAAATCTTCTTTAAACTGTAAGCTAAAACATCTAAAAAGTCCTTAATTTAGATGATTTCTAACAAAATCAGATAAAAGCTGTTAATTTTTTTAAAAGAATAGTTTATTAGTTTTTAGAGAAAGAGGAGGGTATAGGGATAGAGAAACATCGATGTGAGATGTAACATTGATCAGCTGCTTCCTACACGCCCCCTACTGGGAATCAAACCGGTAACCTCTCGGCACATAGGACAAACGCCCAACTAACTGAGCCACACCAGCCAGGGCAAAGCCGTTAATTTTTTAATAATAAACCACTAAAGGCTTATACTGCTCATCTATCAGATGTTACATCATACTATTGTTGGGGATGGTGGTACCTGCTCAAAGGAAAAGTAGTAGGAAAAGAACGAATTGGAGTATGTGAAGAAAAACCAGGTTCAAAAGCAATCTCTGACACTTTCTCTTACACATTATGAAAATGGTATTAGGCTCAGGAACCAGCTCTGGACACATCAGAATGAAAGCTCAATCAAAAAGAGAAGCAGCTTATCATTTCCTGGACTCTTACACAAATGATAGGGAAGATGGCCAGTGTACTGAGATGAAAGGAGTGTCTGCAGTAAGTGAAGTCTAAACATAAGGCAGCTTCCCTTCAGCTCAGTGCCCCACCCCGCTGTCACATTCCACTGGGCTCCTTAAGTCCTATGGGAGTCTAAAAGAGTCCACTCTAAAGTCACACACCCTACCCAGGTACCTGAAGTATAAAAGGAATTCAAATTTTAGCAAAAGGATCTTGACTTTAAAGGGGGGAGGTTAGTCTTCATCTGGTGGGATGTCTAGATGTCTGAATTCAAGTAGGGATGCCAAAGACAAACTCCCTCTCTTACACAACTCTGTCTGGGGTCTGCACCATTTTCCTGGTTTGGAAGTGAGACTGGGGGTGCCAGGGGAGGGCAGATTCTGGGAAAGTACACTCTGGTGCTCACTTTGCTCCAAGGGTAGAATCCTCGAAAGGGGGATCATTACTTATGAAGGTATGTATGTTGGGTAGGGAATGGTTGTATAAAATGGATATCATCTCTCAGCACTATTTCTGAGGATTCAATGAGATATTTAACACACTGTCAGGCACACAGGACCTGAAAAGTGTTTACTCTTATTTCACTGATATGTACCAACGACAATATGCTTTAAAAAAAAAATTTGTTCGCATACCATTAAGAACTTCAACTCTGCTGAAATCCAAAAGAGCTGCTTATGATACAACAGAACAAACCCTGTTTTCTTTTTTAAGATATATCACTTTAGAAGTTACTGTGGTAACATGTAATTTCAAATCTTTCCAATGCCCAGCAACCATAATCTTACTACATTTTGACAGTTAAAACATCCCATGTGCTGGTTGAGTTGAACAATCTCATCTATTAAATATGGCCTTCCTGTCCTCTTATGATGTGTCATCTTACCAAATGTATATCAGCCTTCCTCTCAATCCCACAGAGGTTTACAGGGTTTAGGATTTCTAATTCCTGATTTTTGGCCGTCAAAAGCACGTTTATCAGAGCAAGAGAGTCCTGAATTAAAAGAATGTGGAAACCCAGGTGGAACGGAGTCTCTTCCATGACCAACAGCCATATTTTAGTACTAAGAAAGCTGTTCCAAAAAATTAATCAGGAATGACACCAGTCTACCACATAGATTAGCTATCCTATTGAAAAGGTAACAGGTGTTTAAGAGATTCAAACTAAGTGTTTAAGACGCAAGCAGATACTGTCAGGTGTGATGAGGAAAAGGTGAAAAAACCCCCAGGTTTGTAGAAATACCAAAGCATAGCTTTAAATGACATATAGCTCTGCCCTGGAAATGCTCCATCTGGCAGGCACTGTCACCACAAAAACCAAAGGCAGTGGTAGAAGACACAGGTGTGTTTCAGGGATGTCCATACATAAAGAGACAAGATATATGCTACAAATCAAGCATGAGGGGCATCCAGAATTCCCAGTTCTATACAGATTTACCACACCATTATCCATCTGCTTCTTGACACTGAGTCTCAAATAATTAGGAACTGGAAGGAAATGGGAAAACAGATTTTGTTCCTGTACCAGAATAATGTAGGATAAGACAACTAGATGCAGGGCCGCGAATGGGATCACCTTTCTTAATCAGCATGTTACTTTATAACAGGAATGCAAGGGTAAAAATTTTCCTAGTGCAGTGGTACTCAACCTCAGCATTCTGGTGTTCTGTTAAAAAAATCAAATAATACAGAAAAATATTTATCTCAATGAAGTTTTTTCCTTGATTTGCTTTAATTACAGAATCTCTTAATTCCCAACTCCTAATCCCATCATGAATAATCTGGTTTAATACAAGTCTATAAATAAATTTGTTATTTCTTCTCAAAAAAACACTTAAGTAACTTTTTAAGAATTATTGTTTAAAAAATCTACCTAGAGAAATTAAAGTATCAGTCATTTTACCCCTATAACAGATGGTGCTCAAGTTCAAGTATCAATGCTGTATGCTTAACACATCACCCTTAGTTGTTCTGTTAGCAAGCTGGCTTAGTCTTCTTAATCACTCTTTTCTTCTCCTTGATAATGTCTGTACTCTGGCTTCAGCTCCCATGTGTTTTTGTGGATCCCTTTTACATTTTGAATACCAATTTCTTTTAAGATTTCCTTCAGGTACACCTAAACAAACAAACAAAACCCAAAACAAAAATTTTAATCAACATAAAACATAATTTTAATCAAGATGAAATTATGAAGGCAGAAAACAAAATTTAACATAATACACCAAACCACATTTATGAGTAAGAAAAATTATGATCCTGAAAGTGTGACATTTCTCTATAAAGAGGTCCAATAAACTGCCTTTTAATTCTACACATGCAATATAATGATAACTGTATTCAATATATGATCATCTGCATTAAAGGGGTTGGAGGTCCTAAATGCCACCAACCTGAGAGCTAAAAAAGTCTAGATGAAACTACACTAGAAAATTACTGGTGCCCAATGTTTACTAAGATGACACTGAACACCAAGTGTAATCTGCCCCTGAATTCAGTGGCCTCACTCAAGCACTTATTTCAGTCAGAAAGGGTTACCTTAAACCAGTCATTTCAGAAGCATATATAAAAAGTGACAAATATTTTTGGAATAATAATATTCTATGAGGCAAACATATGATAGGTATCCAGAATTCTGTTTTGAGGTGAGTTTTCAAACTTGCTATCAGGACACTTATTTTTCCTGTGTAATAAGAAAAGTCATTATTTGTGTTTACTACTATATCTTGGCCAAGCTTGTCAAGATAGGGTAAGGGACAAGAAGTGTAACAGTGTGGTGATTGCCCAGGGTGGGTTGGGGGGGCTGGAAGGGGGTTCCAGGAAGAATGGAGGGAGTTGGAGGAGGGTATAGGAGGGATAAATGAAGATGGACAGAGGCTTGATTGGGGATGGTGAACACACAATAATAGTATAGAGATGATGTGTTGTAGAGTTGTGCACCTGAAACTTGTATAATTTTGTAAAGCAGAATCATCCCAATAAATTCAATAAAAAGGAGAAAAAAAAAGTGATAATAAGACATGTTAAAAACCATGAGGGCTGCAGCTTTCCTGTGCTTGGCTCCTCTGAAGGAAAGAGGTAAGTGATAATGTAGGGCAGAACTCTCAATAAACTCAATAGATATTAATCAAATGATTACTATATTCATGGAAATGATGGCTATGATAAATGTAATACTAAAGCCGACCTCTGCTTGCCAATGCCCAAGACCAAAAAGTACCAATTATAAACCGACCAGTATAAATTATAGTACTGTACCTCTTTCTTGGAGAAGTTAATTATTTAAAAGTGATTTTTTTTCTGCTACAGAACCAATCCAACAATTTTTGTGTGTATACTTCAAAGAACCAGTTACAGTATTATAGTGACTCATCCCATTGATGAAAGATGTCATACTTTTTTATTGAAATGAGGCACTAATTAGAAAAATGGCTGACAAGCTCTTACCTAGATAATGTTTAAGGCAGTGCCCTTCTGGAGTGTGGTGCTATAGTACCTGCATCAGGACCTCACGGGAAGCCTGTTAAATAAACCTAATTTTAGGCCTAGTGAATCAAAATCTCTGTGCCCAGGCCTGGGAATCTGCATTTTCAAAAGCCCCTAAGAGACTGATTTAACCTAAGTTCCACAGGACCTGCTTCAAGGATTCTCTCAGCTCTAATACTCTAGGATATTTGAGTCCCTAAAGTGTTCTCCGGAGCCTCACCACTGCTGGAGACTGTGTTAACCAACATAATCTAACAACACCCTACACTGGTATAATGCTCTATAGTTTATAAAGTCCTTTCATTTAGGGATAGGATGTTACCTAGAACCAATAGCTGATTAGCACTGGAACCACACACGGGTTCCTTATCAGGCCCTGGACAGGCTTAGTTCTCTACGGCTTGAGCAACCTTCCCATTCCAGTGGCCAGGCCCCAGCAGGTGGCAGCAATGAACCAAATGAGGCCCGGGTTTCTGGGGAGGAGGCCTGCTTGCCTCCCACACCTGCAGTTGGCTTTACCAAAGGACCCGTGTGCATGAGTAAGCAAAAAGGCTTGGGACATCCAGGTCATGTGCAGGTCTGCCATCTGCCACTTCAAATTACATTTAAAAAATGGGACACTTCATAAACTACTTTCTAATTAAACAGGATTCATAAATGAAAAATAATGGGTGGGCACAAATGATTTTCAGTTTAGATGCCAAGGATGACATCTTTGTAAAATTTCAAAGAACGGTTTATTGTGAGACTGGCTAAGACCCTGTGCACAATCATATAACTGTGGATGCTTTGCAATAGGCCAAAAGTAAAAAAAGCAATCACCAGGAGCATTGTGGTTGCCTGATAGAAGTTCTTTTTAAAAAAAAAAAAAAAAAAAAATTTTTTATATA